AAGCCGCACGAAAGAGTGCAACTCCGCGATGAACAGGGCCGATTCCTCAATGCAAAGGAAGAGCGAATAGCCCTGGAAGAATATTCCAAGGACCTGTTCGGCACAGGGGAGGATTTCCAGCTGCAGGGTTCTTCAGGGTCTCTGGGAATCACCTCGTCAGATGTCATGGATCAGCTTCGCTCAATCAAATTGGGTAAGGCAGTCCCTAGAGACTGCCCCCCCATAGTGGCCTGGCGAAGTCTAGGACCGGTGGCTCACCAGCACATTGCCAGGAGGCCCAGACACTAAGCATGGATCCTAAGATAACAAGTTCCAGCATCTCTTGGCTTCCAAAACCACCCAAGAAGCCAGACAAGCCGGCCTCCCTGAGGCCAATAGGCGTTATAGCACCTGAAGGCAAGGTTTTAGCTGGTCACCTGCGGAAACAACTCAAGCCCACGCTTCGAGCTGCAATGTCCGAGGTGACCCAATTCGGATTCGTGCCGGGCCGGGGGACGGAGGAAGCCATCTGTAAGGCGCTGACTCACGTCGACGAGGCCAGAAACCGAGCAAGTCGCACACAACGACAGGCAGGGCGCGGTCACCGAGGTATCACTCTTCAGGGCAGCCTCACATGCAGTGTCGACATGAGTAAGGCGTTCGACATGGTAGACAGGCGCAGATTACGCGAAGCGCTGGAGCTAGCAGAAGCGGACCCATTCTTAATCGACCTGGTAGGGAAGCTTCACATTCAGGCCCTTTATGACATGACAGCCAGTGATCAGGCATTCAGTATTGCCACAAGAAGAGGCATCAAGCAGGGATGTAAACTAGCCCCGTCGCTATTCGCATTTGCCACCTTCCTACTGTTTCGCAGATTAGGAGAGCAGTGTGATTTAGCAACGCTGCAGAGGATCCTCACCATGTATGCGGATGACACGCTCCTACAGATGCACTTCGATGACAAACGCCAGCTACAGGAGTCGCTGAAGTTATGTGACCTGCTTTTGGACCAACTCGTGGAGCTAGGATTCAAAGTAAACCCCGAAAAATCTGCGCTGCTCCTTCAAATACATGGGGGCTCAGCCCAACAGATCAGGCAAAGCCTTGTAACAACCAAGCAGGGTGTCAAGTATGTCCAGCTTCCTTCAGGTAGGCTGATCGCACTCAAACACCAGGTTCCCTATTTAGGAATCATTATTTCCTACCAGGATTACGAGATGAAGTCGCTTCGACATCGTTTGCAGGCGAGTAAGGCTGCCCTCAAGGAAGTCGCGCACGCAGTCCGGAATAGCCGAGCAATCACTGAAAAGCGAAGACTGTCAATCTGGCGCATTACCGCCTGGGCGTCAGCCATGTACGGTCTCCACGTGGTGAGCCTGACTTCACAGGGTCTGGCTCAGCTTGAGTCACACATGATCTTTCAGCTGCGCTTTGTCCTGCGGAGCTGCTCCCAAGACACGCACGAGAACAACCAGCAGTTCATGCAACGTAAAGGCCTCAAGACGGCTAAGGCTCAGGTATTGAAGCGTTTGCAACAGTTCATCAAGCGCCAACACAAGGGAGACAAAGAAGCACTTCTGCAGCATTACCTACCTAGAGCAGAAACTCTTTCTGACAGCATGTCTAGCCTTACAGCAGCGACCAGAATGCACAGCACAGATCAGTTGCAGCAACAGGTCTGCACTGAATGCGGATCTCTGTTCGCAGGCACAGGCGCACTTAGGCGCCATTCCCAAAAACATCATCCTGGAGCTCGCCTATTTCCGAAAGGTCCACGCTTCAACCCCAAAAAGCACGCCAAGGCGGGCACGCCGGAGTGCATAGCCTGTGGACGCTTGTTCTGCTCATACTTCTTTTTGCGTAGCCATGTAGAGATTTCTACCTGTCCGCGCGTGAGCATTCTGCTCCGGAATCAGGCAGAGGCCGAGGCCACCGTAACGGAACTCGACCAAGTTCACGAGCAAGTAAAAGCTGAAGCACTTCGGGATCCGGGACAGGCTGCCGTAAATCCTGACCTGCATATCTGGCTCATGGAAAGCTGTGCACTATGTGGGCAGGCCTTAGCTGGCAATAAGGCAGTCAAGCAGCACCTGAATCGTCAGCACCCTGAGGTCATGAAAAGCATCCAGCCGATCATAACCCCAAGACTACAGCTTCACAAAGTCATGATGAAGAAGGGCCACCACTGCCGCTACTGTCGAACCAAGGTCGACGCGCCAGGCAGGCACTCTGAGCAGTGTGTCCCACTCTTACAAACACATGTACTTCAGGAAGCTCAACACCAAGGATTAGATTTGGCCCCGAGAGCGTACGAAGCCAAGCCTAAGACGCAGATTACGCCATCAGGATCCTCCCGAACCCAGCCTGTAGGCTTACCTGACCCGGTCTTTATCTTAGAGGGCTTTTGGCTATTGGCAACCGGCGCAATCACTGCTACGCAAACTCAGTACTGCAAATTCTGCATTGGGTAGTGCCGTCGACAAGCCTGCCAACACTCCAGGAGGCGTATCGAACCAGCCAGTTAGCGCGCATCACACCCGAGCACCAGGTCCTGGACTCAATCACAAGAGGCTGGGCATTCGATGGCAACCAGCAGGACGCAGCAGAGTTTCTCAGTGTGATACTTCCGAATCTCTCAGGAATACAGGTTTGTTGCTGGGAGACCCGGTCTCCCTTGGAGGCAGGCTATGTGGTGGACGAGGAAGGGCTCAGCCCAATCTTTCTGAATGTGCCGATAGCCGAGGACCTGCAAACTATGATAAACAGCTGGAGCAACCAGACGCCGGCTCGAGCCCTGGTAGCCGCCGAAAAGCTTGTCTTCCTAGCACTGCCGAGTCGAGGTACGCCGGAGATGGCAAAAATAGTAGCTCCATTAGACTTCAGGAGACGCTTTTACTACCTGCCTTTGAAGGAGTGGGGTTAGCCCTGACCTGGCATTCCTTCCTTCTCCGAGCTGGGAGGAGCCCACCTCAGGGCATTACCGTAGTCTTATCCGAGCGGAATCACAATGGTATTTAGCAGACGACTCCCGCCCCCCGACAGCCTGTCAACTCGATGCCTCGATAATCACAGGCAATGTCTATCTTTTGCTGCTCGAGCGGCAGCAGGCCTGACGCTTTCCACAGTCAATCTGCATTCAGGTGGGCATGACAAGGCTGTATCATGCGCTCTGCAATTAGACGCAACATCCTCAGCTGCTACTCTCCAGAAATCAGAGTGGGCAGAGGATAGGCGCTGCAGACATGTCGCTGGAAGATTTCTTCAGAAGCGCGCCAATGTCCGACATCTCTTCCAAACGTGGTGAAATCCCGAGNNATCTGGAGGAGAATCTCCCCAGAAACGCACGAAGAGTGGAGCAGCTCCCTCTTCCAAGGGACAAGGCAAGGGCAAGATAAGCACTTTCTGGGAGCATGCAGGTCGCCTGCAGACAGTAGTGTTTTCCTTCAGTTTTGCCTGAGGTTGGCGAGGAGAAACTCCCGCATCGCCGTTGCAGGCTTGGCCTTCACTCAGCAATGGCTAGTTCATCACTTCTACAGCTTAGCATAAGTGGAGTTGCTCCCGTTAGGCCGGTTTGCCTCATTCAGTTCCTATGCATGTCGAGTTGAGCCTGCCTCATCAGCATGTATTTTGCAGCCTGTGCATCTCAAGAGCTTTCAGCAACTCTCCCCACACCTCGCCAAGATGGCCTATCGTCTTCAGCCTAACCAGTGTCGGAGGAGCAGCTCCCCGACACGCTACTGAAGTGCCACCTGTTTGCATCACCAGCTTCCAGTCTCTGCGCACTGGCGACCTCTACGATAGAGATGGTGAGCGCATTCAAAGTTTTGGCTAGGACTCGTACAAAGCGCAGTGGAGATGGTTCCCTTCTGTCCTGAGGAGTAACTCCCAGGATTAACAAGACGAGCAATGCATTGGCTTGTATTATCCTTTTTTTCTGCGGAGAAACTCCCAGTACGCCGATCGTAATACAGGTCGAGCTACCATGTGACTGCCACAGCCAAAAAGTGAGATGTTCTCTGACGACCTACTAAGCATTTCCCGAAGTCACCTAAACTGATTCTCTGACACGTGCCAGAATCTCAGAGTACTGCCGGCACGGTGTAAAGATCCGCCAATCAGACATCGCGATGACAAATGTTAGGCCTGCTGCCTTTAGGGGCGAGGCATCAGCAGGTGGTGTGCTTAGGCACGACCTGCACTGTGTCATCGATGTCCAGCGCGTCTGCTCCAAGCAGGTGATCATCATCCACGGCTCCTGCTGCCCTTAGGGGCGGGGAGCCAACCCTG